CAGAATACTGGCGCCGCAGGTGGAGGATTAGCCTAGTGAGCCACGGCGCTGGCCCTTAATTTATTTATTTGAGAGATAGAGCTACAGATAGTGGGAGGGAGAGACAGAGAGAAAGGTCTTCCATCCGCTGGTTCACTCCCCAAATGACCACAATGGCTGGAGCTGCGCCGATCTGAAGCCAGGAGCCGGCAGCTTCTTCTGGGTCTCCCACACAGGTGCAGGGGCCCAAGGGCTTGGGCCATCTTCTACTGCTTTCCCAGCCATAGCAGAGAGCTGGATGGGAAGAAGAGCAGCCAGGACTAGAACTGGTGCCCATATGAGATGCCAGTGCCACAGGCGGAGGATTAACCTACTGTGCCACAGCGCTGGACCCACAAAACCTCTAATTTTTATGACTAACAGTTTACAGTTCCAGCAAGGGTACCTTTAATGTCACACCTTGGATTTTCAGTACTAGTCATCCTACCAAGTACTGAGTGATGTCGCATTGTGGTTTTGACTTGCATTTCCCTGATGACTCATCATATTGAATTTTTTTCATATGCTTATTGGCCGTTTGTCTGTTTTCTTTTGAGAAATTCCTATTCAAGACCTTTCCCCATTTTCTAATTAGGTCATTTTGTATGAATGAGTTAGTTGAGTGTCTAATATATTTTGGATATTAACCCCTTAACAGATATACTGTACATAAGTATTATCTTTCATTTCATAGAATGCCTTTTGATTTTGTTGTATTCCTGTGCAGAAATTTTAAAATTTGATGTAATCACACTTATTTTTGTTTTTGTTACCTGTGCATTTGGTGTTGAATCGAAAACATCATTGCTGAGAAGAATGAAGTCTTTTCCCTGTCTTCTAGGTGTTTTGTAGTTCCAGACCTTTCACTTAAGCCTGTAATCTCTTTTGAGTTAACTTTTCCGTAGGGTATAAGCTAAGGGTCCCATTTCATTCCTTGAGTGTAGACTTAGATTTTTAACCCCATTTTGAAGACACCATGCTTTCCCCATTATGTATTCTTAGTGCTCTTGTCAGTGACTGTTAAAGAGTGTGTGGGGGGGTTATTTCTGGTCTCCCTATTTTTTATAGTAATCTAGATATCTATCTGTTTATGCCACTTTGATTGCTGTAGCTCTCTACCATAACTTCAAATTAGGAAATAGGATGCCTCCAGCCTTGTACTTCATTTTCAAGATTCCTTTGTCTGTTCAGGGTCTTCTGAAATTTCTCATGAATTTCAAGATTGTCCTTTTATATCTGTGAAAAATGCCATTAGAATTATATAGGTATTTACAAGACCCTGTAGACTGTTTCGAGTAGTATGATCGTTTCATCAGTATTAATTCTTCCAGTTCATAAATTCAGGATATCTTCCCATGTATTTGTGTCATCTTCAGTTTCTTTTATCAATGCCTTACAGTATCCAGTATACAAATCTTTCAGCTCCTTGGTGGAATGTATTCCTAAGTACGTCTATCCTTATTGATTCAGTCATAAATGGAATTGCTTTCTTGATTTCCTTATCAAATACTTCATTGTTTGTATGTAGAAATGCAACTGCTTATTGTATGTTGATTTTGTGTCCTTTGACATTATTCAATTCATTTATTAGTTCTTTCAGCTTTGTGTATGTGGCCCTCAGGCTTTCTCTGTGTAAGACCACATCATCTATCAACATCCCATTCAACTTTCTGTCTTATTTGGATGCTGTTTATTTCCTTGGCTCAATTGCTCTGTCTAGATCTTCCAGTATTAGGGTGAATAGAATCATACGAGTAGGCATCCTTGCCTTGTTCCTGAAGTGAGTTTGATGTCAGTGGTCCTCTTTACAACCTCAATTCTGTCGTGGCTTCTAGAGATACGTGCCGTATAATTACATCCCACTCCCTGAAGGGCTGCCCGTATGATGGAATATATCCTGTAGTGGGCTATCCTAGTGCAAGTTTGTGTAAGAATGCTCTGTAAGGTGTGCTCAATGACAAAGTTTCCTGACTGCATTTTCTCAGGACACATATCTGTTGTTAAGTGACACGTGACCTATTCCTCAGTTGTTTGGAGTTTTAATCATGAAAAGAGGTTGAATTTTGTCAAATGTTTCTCTCCACATAGTGAGATGAGCATAAGGTTTTAATACTTCCCGCTCTTTCTGAAATGTGCCACATCCATTTGATGTGTCCATGCTGAACCATCCCATCCTAGGGGGAGTCCCGCTTGATCATGGTATGTGATCCTTTTAATGCATGATTGATTTGATTTGCTAGTACTCTGTTGAAAATTTTCTGCTTACAGTTGTTAGAGATTTTGGCCTATCATTTTCATGTCTTATGGTCTGGTTTGATACTGGGATAATACTGGCCTTAGAGAATGAGTTTGAAGTATTTCTTCCTCGTGATGTGTTTGGAAGAGCTTAGAAGCGAATGTCAATGATTCTTTAAATAATTGGTGGAACCATCATGTCCAGAATTTTCTTTGAAGAGTTTTGGTTACCGATTCATTTACTCCTTTGTTCAGAACTTGTATTTTGTCATGATTCAGTCTTCATATATCACATGCTTCTAGAGTTTGTCTGTTTCTTCTAAGCTGTCCAGTTTCTTGGTTTTGTTCTTATTCTCTTATTATGATCCTTTGCATTTCCCTGGGACCTCTTTAATTTATCATTTATACATTTTCTTAGTCTAACAAGTTTGTCTTAATGTTTGTCTATTTTTTTCAGAAAATTGTCTTGCTTTAGTTGATTGTTTCTTTTTTAAAAATGAATTCTATGTATTTGAAAGACAGGGGGTGGAGGAAAGTGGGGAGGGGTTTCCCATCCAGTAGTCCATTTCCAAAATACCCACAACACCTGGTGCCAGGCTAGACCAAATCCAGGAACCAGCATTCATTCTGAGCCTCTCATGTGGGTGGCAAGGACCCAGACACTCCAGCCATCACTTCTGCCTCCCAGGGCGTGCGTTAGCAGGGAACTGGAGTTGAGAGCAGAGCTGGTACCTGAACCTAGGTACTCAGATATGGGAGTTTCTGATTTCTGGGATTTCTGGTTATTCAGGAGATACTTAATCTAAACTTCCTGACTCTGACTCTTAAAAATGTGCTGCTACATGCGTATTTAGTCTTATGACACCCACTGATGTTTAACTAGTGAAGTATTAGAGTGTCAATTCCTGTGCAGTCGGCTGTCCTCATGGAAGGAGGTTCTGGGTATCTTTTTGGGGAAAGTGCAATGATGTTAAAATATTAACCCATGGACCAGTGGCTCTGACCAGTCCACGGGGCACTGCTCACAGAGTTGGCATGAGGTGCTCAGTACTCTCGCTTTTCCATAGTTCAGTAACATAGTGCCATGTAACACGGTGTCCTGGGGCTCAGCAAAGGAGGCTGGGAGGTTAAAAAGGGGCATCATGAGGAAATTGGGACCCCAACTATGTACCGGCCTTTCCACCTTCCCAGTGCAGCCTGAGGCCATAGATGCGCCCATGGCGTCGCTGTGGGAAACACACTGCAAACCCAAGGGTGTCGAGGAAAGCACTAAAATGAGTCTTGGAGAATAGTGCACGATATTCACTCTTCATGGAAGCTGTTGCATTCCTATCAACAGAAGAAATTTTGGTAATTTTACTCTAATTCACTGATAATTCCTCCATTCAAAAAATAAAACCAATTGACTTAACCTGAGCAAAAATGTATTTAACATCTCAAGATTCTTACATGTATTTGATTATGTATTTGTAATTTCTTTCTGTTGGGTTACTCTAATTATTTAGAATTTCTCCAAGGGCAACCTATAATTTGTATTTTGAAGGTCATAAGTTAAATTGAGAGTTTATAATTTTAACAAAGTAAAGGATTTCATGAAACATTTGTCTTCTAAACTTAAAAAATCATTTATCTTTTCATAGGAAGAATAGGACATAATAGGATAACAATCTAGGGAGGATTTCGTTATATCCATTATCTCACAGTATAAGTTGCTCTAAATAAACAGTTTTAGACATGTGTACTTGGTACAGTTTAAAAGAGACTTGCAGTTACATCAGTGTTATTCTTTTTGGGCTGTCAATTATAAGACATTTGAGGGCAAAAACAGTTTAATTGCTCCAAGATGGGTGCGTGTTGTTCTGAAGTTGTATTCCAACCCCGTATTTTTTTTCTTATTTTTTGCTATTTCCTTTTTATTTCTGTCTGTTGATTCCTCTCTGGTTCATTTCGTTTCCACACAGTGGTCTCTGCTCTTCGCATGTGCACAGTACGCAGGCACACTAGTACAGTCGCGAGAGCAGAGGCTTCGTCAGGACGGTTCTCCGGAGAAGCAGAGTGTTTGCACTCAGGTTCAGATCCATTTTGAATGACAGTATTAAAAACTGATTGAAGTACTTTGTTGATGTTTTCAGGAAAGTCCTTAATTTCAACATTCACTCACTGAATTCCACCTGTGAGTTATTGTGCAAGGTTTTATGGGGTTACAAAGAGCTGTAGGAGAACATGGTCAGGACCCTGGCGAGTTCTAAGGGAACAGGTGATTGTGCACGGAAAGAGGTCTCCTGGCCGTGTCTGCGTCCTGTGAGCAGAGGGCTACACTGCGGTCAGTTGGAGGTGGTTCCTCTGCTGAGCCCGTTAGGACCTGGGGACGGTCATGAACCTGGTGGCATTCTGCCTCCTTTCTGTAGGACAGTAATGGACTACAAGGACGTCCTCTCGCTTCCAGCACCTGCCGTGTGCCCACTGCCCATGTAAAACAGCGCACCTGTAGTGGGGCTGTCCACCGGAGCTCTCCTTGGGACGTCTGTAATGTTTGATTGCTGATCACCTGTTCTGTAACCGTTACTTGAACACTCTTTGGAAGAGATGCTAGCCCACTTTTCCCTCACTGCTCCTGAAAGAACGCAGGGAACACACTTCTTGTCGGCCATGGTTTTGGCGGGAAGGCAGGGCAAGAAGGAGGCGTGGGCGGTGTCCGGGCGGCTTTGCTGTGCCGTGCGCTCTGACGTGCCTCTGGTCCCTTGCAGGACGGTGCTGTTCACTCTGACTTCTGTGGTCGTCCTCGTCATCACCACCGACTGGATCAGCTGGGACAAGCTGAATCGGGGCTTCCTGCCCAGCGATGAAGTCTCCAGAGCGTTCCTCGCGTCCTTCATCCTGGTCTTTGACCTGCTGATCGTGATGCAGGTAAGGGGGCTCCTGCCTCCCTGGCGCTCGGCGTCCCGCCAGCCTCCGCAGCCGAAGCAGCACCTGGTTCACAGAGGCTCCTAGTGGAGCATTTTCTCAGCTTCTGTTCGGCAGTTTTGCTGGGAGTAAAAGCCAACTGGCCTTTGACAAAAGGGGCACCACAAATTTGTTTCGTGAGCATGACGAGCTGGGCCTCTGGAAGCCACATGGCTTGGTGTTTTCTGTCAAAGCTTCAGGCAGGGGAAAAAAAAAAGGGAAAAGAAAAGAAACAGAGGCCATGCCCCTCAGTGAACAGAAAGCCACGGAGCCGAGGCTGATGTGACGCCAGCAAGGCAGGGCTGCTCGGGGTTTCTGGAAGTTGAGACAGAGCGATGTGCGAGGGCTTTCTCTGGTTATGGAAGTTATCACTTTCTGTGTGTTCAGCAGAGGTCACCCACCTTCATGGAAACAGCGATGTGCCCTGCTTAGCAGTAGAAACTCACACAGAGGCATCACACCAACCCGTGCTGCGCGCGTCATCTCCCCGCGTGACTTCTGGGGTTTGGGGAAGATTCCTCTCACTGCTGCAGGAAGAGACACTGGCCATTTCTTGGCATCTCAGCTTGCTTGTTAAGTGTCTGGGCTAAAGCTGGACGTTTCCTGTTGCTCCTCTCCCCGGAGCACTGGAAGTCAAAGGACAGAGGGACAGGGACCCTGCCATGTTGGTTTTTCCATCCCCAAAGACAGAGAGAGGCCTTTTAAAGAGATGTTCTCTGGTGCCTCAGAAGAGAACAGTGCATTCTCCTTGTTATCATTTGATGTACAGCACACCCCGGGGAGGGGAGGCAAGATGCTTCCTAGAGCATACCACGGACACTTAAAAAAACATCCTATAGCTTTAAGAATTGTTTGAAGACAGGAAATGGAAGATTTTTATCTCATCTAAAACTGGGTGGATTTCTTTTTCATTTCCTGCGAGGTAGTGGAGAGAACCTGGACGTGTTCCAGCTGTCTCTCCCGCCAGCTGTGGGACGGCCTCTGGACAGCAACTAAATTGGATTTGTGGCATTTATGCAGTAATGCATCATGCATTACTTGTAGAAAGGCCATTTTCATCTTCTTCCGTCTCCCAGCTTCCTAATATATAACGTCCACTTTGGCCAGCAGCCCTCTGGCACCTCTCGGTCCGCATGCTGAGGCTGAATGTGCGGCCGGGTCCTTGGATGTTCATGTTGTACATGAGCCTTAAATTCCTAGATTGCCCGTCACCAGGTTCTACCTCTACCCCATCCACATGATTCTAAATACTCTTCTGGTAAGTTCCTTAAAATCAGAGCTTTCTAGTGGAAAAATGTAGCCTTGCAGTTGTCAGCCGTTACCTGGATTCCCTTCAGAAAGTACTTCGTGAAGACAGGTCGGGGTGGGGAGTGAAGGGCTGCTGGGGTTTACTGGGGCAGCGTCAGGACCGTGGGACAGGGAGGGGATGACTTTCTGGATTCTGCAAACGCCACATGCATGCAAAGGGCGGTGAGTTGAGGACACTCGGAGCCGTGGGCAGCACCTGCCTGGAGACGCTGCTGGACAGTGCATGTCAGTGGACGGCTCCAGCTCCAGGGGCCGGGACCAGGCTGGCCACATCACATCACAGTGCAGGGAGGGTCTCTGCCGCCCCACAGCCAGCCACCCTCAGGGCTGGGGTGCCGGCAACCAGAGTGGCCGTGCACAGGGAGCCCGCTCCGTCTGCCTCGTCACTGCCGCCTGCTCACTTTCTCTCACTGCCGATCAGCCTGCTCCATTTTCCAGCGCACATGGACAGCCCTGCAGCAGTTGGGTCCCATTGCAGATTCCCCAGGGGTGGACTGCAGAGACTGCAATTCCTCCTCCTTCCCTGAGCTGACCGGTCCAGCCTGGGGGTGGGAGGAGCTCCCCAGAGCACAGGGCCCCACGAGTGGACTCCCATATACGTGATATAAAGAGAAGCTGGAAGTGAGCCCCCAGAGGTTAGGTCCCTCAGTGCCTCCTTTGCTCCCTGCCCAGCGCCCGCGAGGCCTCCGAGGCCGATTGAGCCATCATTTTTCCGGGCCGTGTCCAGATTCGTCCTTCTCATCTCCTGGCTGCCATCGTGGGCCTGAGCCCTTTGTCTTCTTGTGAAGCCGTCTGCTGTGGACTCCTCCCCTGTGGTTGTTCCCTGCGCAGCCGGCCTGGCAGCCTTCTCAGCGTCAGACATACCCAAGGCACTCTGAGTGCCCCGGGTCTCAGTGTCCGCCCCCCAACACCTAACTGGGGCTCTGGGCTCAGCCCCTGCCCACAGCCCCCGCTGTCCAGGCTCTCGGGGAGCCCCTCCCTGCCTGGACTGCGTCTCTGTGCTCTGCTCCATGTCCTGCCCCATGAGGACCAGTTCAATGCCTGCTTCATCACAGCCTGTGACCCCGATGTCCTGTGACTCCCTGGAGCTGATACCCACAGTGCAGCCAGCGGGCGCCTTTCCCTCCCCAACGCTGTGGCTCGTGCATCCCGGTGTGGCCCACATGGTAGCTGCCCCAATCGGACGAGGGAGGGATGGTCCAGCCCCAGGCGTGCTGGTCCCCAGTGTGAGCGTCACCTACAGAGAGAGGGTGCTGGGAACCTGAGTCATCGGGACACTGGAGGACACAGAATGCAGTGTCGTGACTCGCCCATCCCCAGCTAAACCCTGGATGCGTCCATCCTGTATTCATTTATTTCAGATTTAAAAAAAAGTCATAGAATTCACGGAGTTGAAGTTGTTTCCCCAAAAGGCCTGCCCTCCTGAGGATTATTTCAGTGGCTTAAAAACAATTGACCACAGGCGCTTTTAGGGGTAGGAAAATTCCACTTGTATCATGGAAAGTATAGTGACGTTGACAAGAAATAAGGAAGAAATCATGATTAATTGATGCTATTTCTGTAGAGCAAATGTCTAACAAAGTGAATGGACTTATTCTGAAAACTTGTAGATAAAATACATTGTGGACATTCTTGAAAAAGGAGTTTTTTTTCTGCATTTGTGGTGAAGACTGTTTGTTGTGTCACGTCTTTCTGTGGCTTTAGCTAAGTCCCTGCAACTGAGCCGTATGATTTACCCCAGTCCTCCTAGCACAGGACCTGGGAAGCAAACCTCACTCCCTTCCATGGAAAACCCTGTCTGTACTTCTACGTAGTACTTGTGATTATGCCATTCGATTTGCATAGATGCTTTCATTTCACTACAGAATATCTGACTTGCCGAGTGTCCCGCTCACCTGTCTCCTCTGCCCAGTTGTAGGAAAGGTGCGTCCCACACATGCAGGAGGTAAGCATATGTGTGCACAGAGAGCAGGGATAGCAGAAGGAGTCCCAGCAGCTGACGAAGCAGAGGTCAGCATAGATAAGGAGGAGGAGAAGGGGGCTTCCAGGGTGAGAAAACTAGGAGGACAGTGGGCCCTTCACACGGGGCCCAGGCAGCAAGCACCTGTCTTCCCACGGGGCCGTGCAGCAGTGCAGTCAGCAAGGGAAAGGCTCAGTTTTGTCCCGTTAGGTTCCAGAAGAGTTCATCAGCTCCTCCCGTTGCATCTGATGCTGGGGCCCAGCACGGCGGGGAAGGTGCAGAGAGGACTGTGGGAGGGAGGGGAGACGCCTGGGCGAGCCGTCTTCATTTGGAAGACGTCTTCAGGCGCATGGTGAACCATGCCTTTGCTGCCTTCTCAGTCCATCTCCCGTCCTCTCAGGAGCCGGGGAGTATGGTGTAGAGGCTTCAGAGGAGGGGAAGTCTGTCTCCTGAGCCGGGGAGGAAGGAGAGAGTATGAGAGGGAAGTGGACAGAGGAGGGTGGGGCAAGAGGCAAGGGAGCCAGGAAGATGGAGACAGTGGGAGTGAGTGAGGGGCACAGCTGAGTTCCCCACGTGTGGGACGGGCAGCACTGGGCAGTGGCGTCCTGTCCCTGGCTAAGTCCGTCTATTGCTCGTCTCCCACCGTGCTGTTCCAGAGTGGGCTCCAGGTTGCCTTGTGTGGCTGGATCAGTGTCATCCACCCTAGGACAGCGTCTGCTTAAAACTTTCCCAAGAGGCAGAGGAAGCCAGGAGAAGGGCTTTTCTGTGAGTGTGTGGGTGGGGGTGGAAGGGTGCCACGCTTCCAGTGCTTGGCAGTTAGTGGGGCTGCACGCCAGCGTGCTCTGTTGCCCGACGGTCGTCTGGATTGCACAGCAAGGGGTTGAGAGTCTGGGCTCTGGAGGCAGCCTTCCCACGCCCAGTCCTAGCTGTGCCGTTAGGTGCGTCTCTGAGCCGAGCTGATATTAGCATCTGCTTCGTAGGGTTAGATCTGGCTCAGAATCGCATCGCGTGTGCCTGGCGCACGGCAGGGACGGAAGAGACGTTAGCCACTCTGGGTTCCGAGGGAGAAGGCTGCCTTGGTTGTGTGTGAGTTCCTATGTGAGGTCAGGTTGCAGAAGCAGCTCGAAGCCTCCTTCCTGAAGGGCTTGGGAGGCCCTCTGCAGGGTCTGAGTTCACCCTGAGGGAAACGGTGAGGAGATAACAGTTCTGTGTAACCCATGCTAGAAACTTCAGGTGATTCTTAAGTTTATTTTGAAGAATGATTTAGAAAGCAAGCTCAAGTTTGCGTGATGACTTCATGGCGTTGGATGCTTGGGTTCGAAGAGGCTGGGATTCTGCCACTAGCAATAAACACAGAATAGACATAAAGGAACCTGTTTGTGCATATGTGGGTGTGAAGAGAGAGCAGCTCACGGTAGCTGTAATCGCACCCACCGCTGATGGTTTACCCTGCCATTCGGGGGCTCTGTGGCGTGGGAGCTGTTGCTTTCACCGTTGTAGATTCCTCACCCTGGGGGGCACTTATGGGACCCCTGCAGTTTTAAATGTCTGTTGACTAAATGAGCGCCAGCAAGATGTGAAGAAACAGGTGAAAATAATAGTGGAATTATTGACTAAAGCCAAGAACGAGGAGGAAATGAGTGGTTTGAGAATGAATGTGAGGATGGGTGTAGCCCTAAGGCGGGACACCCCGTGT